GCACACCCCTAAGCTTCATATAGGCTCGTGATCGGCTAGGAATTAGTTATAAAATGATTAAACAAGAAAAAAAATCAACCAAAATAAATATCAATCAACTAACGGTTTGATTGATATGGTCTTTATTGTTTAACTTTTGGCCAAGTGATGAAAATGTGAAGCTTCCTCGTATCTAGACAATTTGGACATGAAGTTGTGATATCATGGGAGTCTTTTGATGGTGTGTAATGTCTTTACTAATCCAAATAAGGATACGTCTAAAATTGGACCGTTTGGGATCACTCGGTTTGTAATCTCGGTTATTGTTAGGTCTGAACAGTTTTATGTTGATTTTTGGTTCACCGTGGGTCTTTGATGGGTTACGAATATGAAGCAAGTTGTCTATGGGCTAAAATCCTCATGGCTAGGCCTGAATCCTTCAAGAGAGACCAATATGTTCTTATCAAACCATTGGAATTATTGCATGATCTTTGGTTTGTTTGGGCTCATCTTCCTTGGGTCACCACTGGCATAGACTCTTGAGAGGCTGGTAATGACATGCCAAGGTGATTTGGGAGTGACAGGTTCATCATGGATTTGAGGTCCTTATCCATTCTATAGTACAAGTCTGACAAGTAACGAGCAAGAAACAACAAATGGGGTGCTTACCGAAAAACCGGATTCAAGGATTTCCATCCCTGAATACATCCAAACGACACCCAATAGGTGAGAAGTACAAAAAAATCAAAGTGAGAAATGTCGATTCTGTATATAATTGGTGATATGTTCACTTAACTTCATAACTCAATTCTCACATGCTATGGCGTTGAGCTCACCTAGACTATTTTGGTTGGATTAATTAAGTAGTGTGAAATCACAAAACAATCTAAATCATCACTATTTAGATACTCTATTTGATGAAGTAGATACAAGTTTAGACGAAGAAACCTAATCAAAATTATATTCTAATAATCCTATTTATCAAGCCATGAATTACCGATCAAATTATCTCTTAAACCCAATGAATGCCTACTCATACATGGATATGGAAACCGAAACAAAATCAGTAGATAAACTCACATTTAGAAAACGTATCTAAAACGTACAAGGAATGCGAGATTTTCTCTCTTATCGAACAAAACATAAAAAAGTTGGGAACGAAACATATATCTATGAAATTTTTAGTGGTTATGAAGAATAGTGAATCACTCTTTGATTTGGTGGGTTGTTGTGGTTTTTTTTTTTACAGTAGTATAGATCGGGTATGGTGAATATACCCAAAAAATTTATAAGACTTTGACAAAATCAAAATTTTTACTTTTTTTGGACTGTTAGTTGATCGATCACCAGGGGTGGGATCGACCGGCTGCCTCTATTTTTCAAATTAAATTTTTTATGATGATGAATGATCTATCAATCACCGGGGGACGGATCGATCGATTGCTACTTCATTCCTTTGATTGCCTCATCTGGTAATCATAAAAAAAATCTTTAGTAAATTGGGGCATGTCTTGAGATATGTCCCATGGAATTGCTTAAACCCACTTGGAGAAGAATGTTAACAATCCCATATACCTTGTATCCAAAATTGATCATTATCTAACGTTAGTCCTTCGCCCGATGCAAAATTTTGAGTGCTTGAAAGTTGTCCAACCTTGAAAATATTTGTGTTTATAAATTGCTCCAATTTTTCGTAAAGACTTTAAACACTAAAAATTCAATAAAATTCGAAAACTAGTGGTTTTGTTATTTAAACACATTAAAACCAGTAACATCTAAGGTATA